TTTTTGACCTTTTGACCCCTTGCCTGATCACCTAGGTCAAAAATTTTTGCGGATTCGGATTCCTGAGGGTCGAAAACTTATTTGCGCCCAGGTTTGATCGACAGAGGAAAAAATGGAGGTTCAGCCTCCATTTCAATGGACTAAATAGATACAATAATATTTTACATATATTTTATGCCTATACATATTATTCTCCAAACGTAATTAGTAGCAAGTTTCTATATATTTTAGTAATTAAGCAGTGTTTTTTAAGTTAATACGACTCGCCAAAGTAAAAAAATAATTCAGGTTAGGTATATATTTTTACTGAAAATAGCAGTTAATTTACATTATCGGATTGTTAATGTGAAAATATAAACATTAGACTGTTGACTATTCCATGTTATACTTGTTTTAAGGTCACTTTTGAAGAATAAATTACCTGTAATTTTAAAAATTGTATTTTTGCTTTTATAATGAAGGAATAGTAATTATAAGATTGTTTAAGCTTATTAACTAAAAATTATTGCCTACTTAATAAAAAAAATATTATTGTCCTTGATAATCTATTACTGATTAATAAAATCTTTACACTCTTTCCTTATAAGATTATATGTACACAAATTGGAGCCGTCCCTGGAAAATCGGTCCAGCGTAAATTATTAGACTTGTTCGTCGTTCGGTTAAAAAACACACCTTGAAGCGTTGGCCGCTAGAGCAGCACTTGCCGAGGTCCCGTTTCGTGACTCACACTGGGCGATATTTTTTGTACAAAATCCCTTCCTTAAGAGACCTTTTAAAATTCACCAAAGAATACAAGGTTTCATTTTTGGTCACCATTTGTGAATCACCCTGTATATGAATGATAAAAAAAACATATCTAAAAAAAACTTAACCGCTTTATACTACCACAATGAGATGAAATGCATTCTATATATAGATAATTCCGAGGATATTTGTCACTTTCGTTTGTTTTTCCAAAGCGAAATCAGTTACAAAATATTACAAATGACCTATCTTACAATATACTGTGACGACTTTGTAAAATACATAGTATTAGTTCCTTTCCAAGAATATCCGGATTTTTTGAGGAATTTTATGAGTAAATCTGATATTCCAATGGGTTTCGGTTAGGAAAGAAAAAATTGCATGTATACTACATACATAGTAATTATACGTATATCTTGTATAGCGTTTACAGACGTGTCGAAGAATTCAGGACCGTAATCAGGAGACATTTATGGTTTTAAAATATTATTATTTATATATTATTATTTTATCTGGAAATATATAAATTAAATATGATACTGAATACACCTCAATTTTATAAATTTTATGATAAGGATACATTTAGGAAACTATGTTAAATAAACTTTTTATTTTATTTTCCCTTTGTAGAACCACACCTCTGAATATAGTTTGAAATTAAAGCTTGTAAAACCTTTTGTAAATTTTTATTAGAGGATATAATTTCGAGATAGTTGTAATTTTCGACATATCTCCACTAAAAATCAAAACAGTACACAAATTAACTAGTAGGCTTTAAAAATTGAATAACAAATTGTTTCAAATAAATAACAAATAAGCTATTTTTATAAAGTTTGTGTTTAACTTATCTGTAATTTATTTTTTTTAAAGGTAAAAAATTGCTTAATTAGGGATATTTGAATAACTTGGCATAACTTTTCAAATAATGAATAAACTAAGGATATTGACTTTAACTTTTCAACCTCAAAGTGTCTTAAAGAAACCCTGATAATTTCAAAACGCTGCGATTTCTTTTTCCTAGTGCCCGGAATGTTTAAATTTGACGTTTTTGCTGAAAATACATTCAGAATTTTTTCACTTTTTATTAAGTTAAAAATATTTTTTAGCAATGATCTATATTTTCTTTTCATCAAAAAACGTTCATTATTCTAAAAAATGAAAAAAAATGAGTGATCCAACCTTAGTGAGACAACCTGTATATCAGAAATGTTTCAAGTGCATTTACGTCTGAAAACAAAAAATAAAATAGCAATCATACTATACATATTCGCTTTAAAAAATTTAAAAAATGTCCTTGTCTTGTTGGACGTTCATTTCTTGCGCGTCCTACTCTGTTATTCGTTTGAGCAATTACTGATATGTTACTTTATTGTTCGTAGGAAATTTCTTAAATACAGAAACCACAAAACCACGTCCGCCTTTGAATATTTTAAAGTAATTAATTGCATATAACCGTCGACATTAATTAACGAGTATACTACGAGTTCTTGTGGTTTCCGTTTTTTGAGATATTCAGCTAGTTGAACGAACCAGAAGATAAGCCAATCCTCCAAATTTTATTCGTTCGAATCGAGACAGACCGAAATCGGCCTGCCTGGAAGTAAGAAGCAAGAAAATGTTCATCCCTCTCGTAGCGATCTTCGCCGTGGTGCCGGTAGCGATCGGCCAGTTTAATGGCATCCTGGGGCAATTGGGAAGAAAACCGGGTAGTTGTCCACCCTTCCCCGATGTTGGAATTTGTGAGATGTCCTGTTACGGCGATTACAATTGCGCAAGATCACTGAAGTGCTGCAGGACCGCTTGCGGAGGAACATTCTGTATAAGCCCTGTGACGGCCCCCATCAGTAGTAATTTAGAGGGTAAGTATTGTTGTGTATAATAATTTTAAGATTCATTTTTAAAAGTGCGCAAATTTCATACGCGTATATAAATATACAGGCTGATTCACAAACGGTAGCCAAAAATGAAATATAGTATTCTTTGGTGAATTTTTGAGGGGTCTTTCGTATAAATTTTTTATCTAGGACGCTTCGTTAAAAAGATAAGTGTTAAACTTAAAAAAATAGTTTTGTTTTAAATTTAAAAATTAGTAAGGGAAATAATTTGAAATGAGACACGTGTATTTAGGTAAACATTGTCCAAAATCTGAGGCCCTTTCCTAAAATTTAGATGCTCCAGTGGCGGAGAAACAGGGTATCGGTGGCAAATTTTTCAAAATAAAATAGTACGCAACTACCTTATGGTAACAATCATATTTTCGGATTCGTCTTTCAATTTCAAATTACTACTCTCATATATTTTTCGAAAGAAGCCCGATTTTTGAGTAAAACTCAAAAATTAAACTGAAAACACACTTCGATATTCGAATAAAATGCGGTTTAAAGTTACATAGTAGTCTGCGATAGCAACTTCGACATTCTGAGCAGTTAGAAGAAAGAATAAATAATGTTTTTCATCAGATTCAAGCAACAATAAATTTCGAAAAAATTACATATTTGTTACTAAAGAAATGTCGCGCCTGTGTTCATGGAAATAGAGGTATTTTTTAGCATTTACTCAATAAAAAAAACATTAAAATGATCGACTAATGTGTTATTAATTTCTTTATTCGAATAAATAACCGAATTGATAGTGTTTTCCTGTCATTTAAGTAAAAGTGTTTTCTGTTTGTTTTTTAAGTTTTACTCGAAAATCAGGCTTTTTTAAAAAAATATACGAGAAAGAGAGTAGTAATTTGTAGAAAATTGAAAGACGAATACGAAAATATCATGATTATTACCGTGAAGCAATGGCGTACTTAGAAAAATAAACCACCGATACCGTGTATCCCCACCAGTGAAGCATCTAAATTTTAGGAAAAGGACTCAGATTTTCGACAATGTTTACATACATACATGTGCCCAATTTCAAATTATTACACTTACTAGTTTTTAAATTATTAAAAAAAAATTAAAAACATTTTTTTAAAGTTTAACACCCTGTATCTTTTTAACGAAGCGTCCTAGATAAAAACTTTATACGAGACATCACCAAAGAATGCGAGATTTCATTTTTGGTTACAGTTTGTGAATCACCCTGTATTTAGTGTTACTAAAGAGAGGGGAAGGGTTAATTTAATTTTTAATTATATAAGGTGTCTCAAATTGCATGCGCCAAACTTGACCTGATGAAAAATGCCTCAGATTTGGATGCAAATGAATAGTACATTTAGTGCATCTAGTTTCGGTTTGAGTTCCTTAAAAGTCTTCCATTTTATTAGAAAAACGAGTCATTTTGAGTAATTAGTTACCTACTTTTTAAAACTTAAATAAGCCATCGACATAATTGAATAAATCCGAAATAAATGGTTTCACAAACAAAAAAGATAAAGGAATATTATTTATTAGAAATTAAAATATAATGTGAGAAAACCAGCGGTGGAAATTTAAATTACTTTGCCAATGATTATATAGGGTGTTTTAAAAATAAGTATCAAAACTTTAAATACGCGTTTAATTCGTCAAAACAACAACTTTTGTGTAATATATTTTTTTGAAAAACCTGTTTTTAAAATAACAATTAATTTTTAAAATTTTAAATACGCATAAGTCCAAACGTTTTGAGTTAAACAGAAAGAAGCACAACAAATGGGAATTTGTGCAAATATTTATCATTCCATAAAATATTCACATTTCCTACATCCCTACTTCCCGACATTACACTGGTACCTAATTCTTTTATTCATAGGGAAATCGTTGGTGCTATTTTAATTTATATATAACACTAAACAAAAATTTGTTGATATTTTTTATTTATTAGGTAAAAGTTGTTGCTTTTAACGAATTAAATACGTTAAAATTTTAGCACTAATTTTTGGGACACTGTATTTAAAAACTATTTTTGACAAAAAACTCGTATATATTTTTTTGTAAAACCAAGTGTGAACTTAGTTTTTTCTGTTTATTTAACTATTGCGAAGGTTTATTTTAAAATAAAAATAATAATTAACCAAAATAGGGAAGACGACGAAGACATAATTAGTAAATAACTGTTTGCTTATAAGGCAGTGCCTCAAGTTTTCAAAATTTTTAGATTCATAAGTAGACTTTATTATTTATTATTAATTGTAATCCGTAGTCGTATTTAGCTAATTTTCATCTTCACCTTCAGATATTTCCAATTCCTTCATGATTTTTAAACTTAAACAAACTTATTTTTAAAAATTATAAACCTGTATAAAATAATTGTACTGCATTATAAACTGGTGAAAGTTAATATATTAAAGTTGTGCTATTGTAAAATGTACAGATGCTGATTTCACGCAGCTAGATTCTTCAAAAAAAAATTCATAACGATCTTCCAAAAATCATTGAAGAGTTGAAGAAGGCTATGAATTACCAACAGAATCATTGTAATTGATTCAACAAGTACTTTAATATCCGACTGCTTCTTAATAGTCCACACTATATACAGTGTGTCCCCAGATGGAGTACCGCACTCTTGTAAAATTTTTTATTGTTGACTTTTCGATTTCGAGAAAAAGTTATTCTTGATAAAAAATTTTGCTTAATTTGATAAGCCATGGGCAGTCATCAAATATGTAATAAAACATACAGGGCGTCCAAAAAAAAAGAATAATCACATTTTGGAAAGACGCGATTTACTTAATGCAGACAGAAATTGTAAAAAATAAGTAAACTTTTATTTTAAATTTAATACAATACCTATAACTTTAAAAATATCTTGGTAGAACAGCTTCCTGAACTTGCTGAAATAAATCAATATTATCGTCAAAATCGTTTAAATACACATTTTGCTTTAGGTATCCCCATAAGAAATAATCTAATAGGGACAAGTCGTGTGCCCGTGCAGGCCAAGGCTTTAGTTCAAATCGCCCGATCCACTTGTTCGGGAAGTGAACGTCAAGCCAGTTTCTCACTAGAAGTGTGGAATGTACAGAGCATCCGTCTCGTTGAAATATTAGTTTTCTTCTAAACTCTTAATACGAATTTTGATTAATATTTTCTTCCTAAGGTAAGAGTAAGGACCAATTATTTTATGGTACATTATGCCAGTGCCACACCAGACATTTACTTTTTTGAAACTTTGACTATTAGTTATCAATCGAAAATTTAGATTATCTTTAGCCCAATATCTACAATTTTGAGACGAAACCACGCTATTAGTTTAGAATGTTGATTTGTCAGTAAATAAAATATTGTGATGAAAGAATCTGTTTTCAATCAGTTTCTCGCGCAAAAGTCCAAATAACGACCATCATCTCCATCAAACAATTTTTGATTGAACACTGGTTTGAATATCTATGTTTTCTGACATCTTTGGATTGTCTTGTAGAGTCCATAACTACAACAGTAGCACCCTCGAAATCACTGTATTTTTTTTATCATTTTAATATTCTAATATTTTTAATATTTCTATATGTCATCACCAGTGGCATTGAATTTTATAATTAGCTTGCGAACTGCTCTACTAGTTACAGTTACATTTGAATACTTTTCATTAAAAATTTGTATTGAATATTGATATGAAACATTACCGATTCCATTTGACAAGATAAATTTGTTGCCCCAGGGTTAGCATTAAAAAAAATATTCGATGGGCAGTTAATAAAAATAAATATGTTGAGTTTGACATTGATAAGGAAATATCCATGGTAATTATATAGTAGGTAAGATATTTGCCTAGTTAAAAATTGCGGTGTCATCTTTATTTGAAAAATGTGATTATTGTTCTTTTCTGACTAAACCCCGTATTGTAGCATTTCTTGAGTTCTCGAACAACGAAAACAAAAATTAAAGGCACTTAGGGAATATTTCACATTTTGTTCATATAAGTTTTTTGGACGCTATGTATATTTTATTACATATCTGATTACTGCCCATGGCTCCTCAAGATAAGCAAAACTTTTTATCAGGAATAACTTTTTCTTAAAAAAGTTTACAAGAGTGCGGTAAAACTTTCTATGAATAACTTTTTCTCAAAATCGAAAAAATTTTACAAGAGTACGGTACTCCGGGGACCCGCTGTATATAGTGTGGCTATTAAGAAGCAATATGATACCCCAATTTTTCTTAAAGTGCTTGTTGAATGAATTACAATGATTCTGTTGGTAATTCATAAACTTCTACGATTCTTTAAAATGATTTTTTGGAAGATCGTTAATTTTTTTTTATGAATCTAGCTGCGTGAAATCAGCATCTGTACATTTAGTATTTACACGATGCTAGTAATTCTACATTTAAACCACTAGTGTAGTAGGTATGGGATGCAGAAGTAGGCCTCTTCTTCATTTCCAGGTTAGTTTTCTGCTTAAGTTTGAGCATCGTGGGTCACCTTGTATAATTCGAGATATACTTAATTTGTACTCATACATTTCATTTCAAATGGTTTTTTATTATTGGTGAGACTTATTATTTCTTTACATATTCTATTTTATATATTTTTCTTATGTTAACAAGGAATACGCGCATTAGTATAACAATTTTTCTTTCTATAAGATTAAAAATAATTCATTAAATATTAATATGGTGCTGAAAAACAGTAGGTACATTTTAATATTCTCTAATAAACTGTTATTTTAATTACACAAGTGCTTCGAAAAAATCTAATTATATACTGTATTCATACAAATTTCAAAATTTTCAAATTTTTCTCATTGTCAAGTAGTGGAAGTGATATTAAAAATTCAATATGCTAAATAAAGCTGAATTTTTTGGAAATCATTTTTTTGAAAGACAAACAAAAGAATATTTCATCAGTCACCTGTAGTTAGAAAAGAAGTGTTTTTTTTCAACGTATGTATATTAGAGCATGCTTTAATAATAATTATTTTTTACTTCTGTGTGTGTATTTTGTAAAATAAACATGTTACTGTATAATTATAAGGCGTGACATTGTGGTTATTATGGTAAAATGCAATTAACTATAAGTATGAATCATCATGAGTAAATTACGTAGAATAATGTATTTTTAGACAGCTCAAAACAATTCTTACATACAAGTCAGCTATCACTTTCGTAAAAAAATATGGATGTTGCAAACACCTTTGAAAGAAAATATTTAAATATGTGCAAATTACTACAGGGTGATTCACATAAAACTGCCCGACTCAATAACTGTAAAAGCCAGTAGATAGAAATTCTCAATGCAGTCAATTAAGACCTCAAGTAAAATTTTTCGAGAACAAATTGCAGGTGAAGATGGGATGGGGCTTTAAAAAGAAAATTTTCTTTCGCCTTGAACTTCGCAAATATATTTTGGAAATTTAGCTTATTGGGATATCACATAATCAGGTTAAAGACGATCGAAGCTTATACATGCAGGGGGTCACCTAACGAATGTTGCATACTTCAAGGGTATAATCTAGAACCCAAATGGTGTTGATTTAACCAAAAATTTACAGGGTGTTAAAGTTTCTTTTCTTATTTGTTGTTTTCTCCTTAACTCAGAACCCAGTTAACCGATTTGAACAAAATTTGCTGTTGCTTAGTTTCTCTTCATGAAGTATGCAGTGATTATGTCATATTAGGTTAAATCATACAGGGCGTTCAGTTTACTACAACCCTTTGTGTATATTATTTTGTAACTTTTTTGTACGTTTAAATTTTTACATTCAACTATCAGAAATAGGTAGAGAATTTTATTCTACACAAAAAATGTATACCTATCAAAATATTTATTAATAGTGTTTATAAAAACATATAGGTTTTGTGGACTGTATTTATAATGAAAAATGCGATTTCTTCGTTCAACAAAAACGAGTTTTTATTATTTAATTAATACCTTTACAGAAACATGACTTTTATCATAAACTAATGACAAGACAGACGAATCATGAAAACAAACAACTCGATCTTTCTTTTACGTTTCTAACGTTCTTTTTACTATTTTATATCTATGTGCACTAGGTTCCCGTTCCAATTCTCAACAAATAGTCCAGTCGGTATCTCTTACGGGATGGATTTTTTATATAGTAACGCTAATTTTTGTTGGGAATAGTTCTAAATATTATATAGAATAATAATCGCGATATTCGCCCGTTGAAAAAGTTGTGTATAATTATTGTTAGTGCAAGAAAATATAAAAAAAATATTAAAAAGGCGTATTTTTCTCCCTTCTTTCATGTAAAATAGACCGGGAGATACTCGTAGAAGTTCAACGACGTCTTTCTCGTTTATGCCTATTAGGGTACTGAAAGATACATTAGAGACAAGATTATGGAAAAAACCGATGTGTCCGCCGGGACACCTATGTGAAAATTTAATTTTCTTTTTCCGCAGCTTTTCCAAAGCCCTATTTTCTTTAGTCCTTAGTAGTACTTATGCCAATGTTTTTTATGAGCTGTTCGAATATAATAATGTCATATTTCTAATTGGCATTAATGAGAAATTGGTAGACAAATATATTTTATAATATCGATTTTATCACAAAAAAATTTTGTGATAAAATCGATACTTCTCTTCAACTTATGAACATGGCATAAGTGAGAAATACGTCGCTGTACACATTATTTTTTTGAAAAGGAAAATTGAATTTTCACAAAGGTGTCCCGCAGCCCATCTTTTAAATTTAGTTTATTGTACTTGTCTCTCGGTTACCTTTCAGTACTCTCAGAGGCATAAACGAGAAAGACGTCGTCGAACTTCAGTCTAATATCTCCCGGTCTACAACTCGGAGAATATTAACATTAGAGAAAATAGTCAAAGGAAAGAAAGTTTCGTTTTGAAATTCTCTTTAAAATAAATGTAGTCCAGATTTTTTATGTGCATTATCGTTGCTGCAATACAGTATAGACAGAAAAAAAATTGTGAATAAGGATCGTTTTGCCATGAATTTATTTCAGACCTTGACTTTAGAGCAGCCATATAAAAAATATGGTTCTGATTGTGAGTACTTCATGATATGATAGTACATATTGCAGAATTTTTTTCATCGAAATCGGCCGGGTAGATTTCGCACAAATGAATTGTTAATTATGAAAATACAGAATTATACTTATTTTTCAATTCTCTCACGGTTTCTCAATAGTTTCATAAAAACGTTGAAGGAAATGTGTCGAAGAGGATGGGGGACACGTAAAACATTTATTATAAATTAGTAGACTTTTTATTACTACCACCTTTCACTTTATTGTTATTATTGGATTACTGTTTCAGACAATATAAAATAAAAATATAATATACCCATATTCCCTTATGTAGGTACCAAAACTGCATAATTCCAATTATTTTAAGACTAAACATACATAGGTACAAGTTAACAGACGATTCCATTGAAAATGTACGATTTTATATATTCTCTAAACATTTAGTTATTGTTAAGTTTTGTAGCTTGAAACTGTGACTATCTATTTTGAAGTCTTGAAAATTACAGGTTACGAAAATTCGTACCTAACTTGTGCGTGTCATATCTCAAAAACTATTGAATCGAAATTTTTTGTAAGACACAATTTGTTTAAAATTTAAGGGTAATGCAGAGAAACTACTTCCCAAAGCTCCTGCGAAAGAAACATTGATTTTGGCTCCGGTGCCATCTACAATTTATTTGAAGTTTTAATTGGTGTGCCCAAACGCAATGAGAGTGTCGTCTTGGAACTTGCTTTTACGTAATCAGAGAGTATCTCCAATCTCCATTATTAAGTTATAGGGACCGGGAAGCTTTCTGTGAATCACCTTTTCTCTACATCTTAATACTTGAATGAGAGGAGGCGAGATATTACTATTCAGTAGGCCTTATCTGCATAGTACCTTATATTAAGGTGTTGCTAGGAAATTTGTAAATTTTATTATTTAAAAACAGATTTTAATTTAATTTTTACTCTTCTCTTTTTTAGAAAAACCAGGTGTCTGTCCGCGACCTTCAGGCCCTTGGGTTTGCTCAAGCAGATGTAAACAAGATTCCGATTGCAGGGGAAAGAAGAAATGTTGCCGAAATAGATGCGGTGCTAATGCGTGTATTGCTCCAGAAGAAGACAATTCCGAGAATGAAGTTCCGCTTATTATATAGTTGCATTATTACTTGTAAAACATTAATCGGATACGATCGAGTGGGCTGTACAGGATCCCAAACCTTTTTTAATGAAAAAATTAAAATTAAGTTGATTTTCACATTTTTTCCACATGCAATAGTAGAATATGTTAAAAAAAGTCCTACCTAACCAAACAAAATAAGTAAAACTTTCTTTAAAGAAAATGCTTAGGATTCTTCATGTCAATTTCATGTATTTTTTCATTTCTATGCGTGTATTTTATTTTAGTTAAATATTTTTAATTAAAGCGTACTTAGACTAATAAGTTTGTCAAGTTGTCAAGTTTAAAATAATTTTTCAAAAATTAAAAATTATTTTTAAGTTAAACAATAAAATATCAATTTTTGAAGGTATTTTAATTATTTTACATTTCTTAATGATGGCAAAATTAATATTTGAAAAAATAATACTTGGGTATAGTTACATAATATTCAGTATTTTCGATATTTTCAAGTAATTCTCATTATTCAAAAAGAAAGAGTGATATTAAAATTCAGTATGTGTATGGTTTTATAAGGTATGCATGGTATTAGTGGCATCAGTTTTTTAAAGGCAGTGGAGTGATAGCTCTTGATTACGCCATGTTTATCGACTTATTAGAGTAGCCGTGGCGCCATGTTGAAGGTGCGCAAAATAAAAAACGTCAGCCCTTTTTTCTGGCATAGGCAGTGCAATTTGCTCAAATTTATTATTATTATTGTCGCGTAGTACATAATAGTCCCCATTGCTAACGGAATTATAAAATATATATATATTTTAATTTTATTTCGAAGTAATGGATATTTATATATTGATCTACCATACTTACAAATTTACAAAATTTTTGCCCCGGCTTAACCATACATTCATTGTGTTGAAAAAAAAGATCATGTAGGTACAGTGCCGGCCCTTTGAAAGTGGACGATTTATTTTTCTAATGTGATGTGGTCTACTTTTCTTATTATGACGTTTTTATATGTCAGTAACATTCGTGAACTTGCTTGGTAATTCAAGATGCCGCGTTTAACGGAACCAGAGAAAGTGAGAGCTATATAACTTTACTTCAGAATGGTTGGTCATTGCAAGCAGTTGCGGATGATCTGCATGTATGTAAGAATAGTATATTTAAACTCAAACAAAAATGGAATGCGGAGGGTCACGTGCGTTATGTTCACGGAGGTGAGCGTCGAAAAGTAAGTACCGTTGAAGAAGATAATCTATTCCTTGACCATCTAAAATGAAATCCATTTGACACGGCAGTAACGGCTTCCTTTGAGACGAATTTTCCTGGATCAGTGCGAACTGCAAGGAAGCGGGTGAAGGATTCGGAGCTGAAGAATTATGTGGCCGCAAATAAAGTTGCTTCGACTCCCCAGCATAAAGTACAGAGATTAGAGTTTGCAAGACAATTTGTAGGAAGACCAGACAACTTCTGGGAGAATGTTATATCTTCGGACGAGAAAAGTTTTCTTGCTCCGATGGTTCTGTCCGTGTTTATCGACCGGAGAATACAAGGTATTGGGAGCCTTATGTGAAGTAGTAGTAGTAGTAGTAAAGGGGCGGCCTCAGCCTGGCAATTAGGCCACAAGTGGGCCCTTTTTGCCTACCACGCCGTCCCATCACCTGACCACTCTCTGCCTCTGACCCTCCTCGAATCTACCCGACGCCCTAATGAACGCCAGGATTTTGGTCCATGGAAGGTCTCTCACCTCAACCCCTTGCAGCTCTTCAGCACCAAAGACTTTATGTCTTATTCTCCCAAAGGCTGCACACTGTCCCAGAAGGTGGACAGGGGTGTCCTCCCCTTCGCCACATTTCGGGCATAGAGGGTCCTCCTCAATTCCTATTAAGCTTAAATGCCTCCTAAGTCTGCAGTGGCCTGTCAGAACCCCCACCATTTGGTTTAGGGCTTTTCGACTTAGGCTCAGCAGCCATCTTGTCTTGGATTTGCTAGGTCCATGTATAAAACTATGGGCCTGCCTGCATCCTCTATTTCTCCTCCAATCCAGACCTAAAGTTTGATAGGCCCACTTATTGAGGGCCCCATTAATGCTGCCTCGTGTGATACCTAAGATTGGTTCAGGTCCCTGTCCAGGTCCCCTGGACCCAAGACGAGCTAATTGATCCGCCCTCTCGTTACCAGGGATGCCCCTATGGCCTGGGACCCAAACCAACTCTACTTCTTTTCGTCTGGCCAAAGACTCTAGAGCGTCTCCACATTCTTGGACAAGGGCAGACCTAGTCCTCGGGGAGCTAACCGCTCTGAGCGCGGCCTGACTGTCGGAGCAGATAAAAATCTTCTCCTCTGCACAATTCCTTACCTCCTCCTTGCTTGCTACCATCAAAATAGCAAAAACCTCAGCCTGGAAGACTGTAGCATACATACCCAGTGAAAAGCTTTCCTGGATGCCGCTGCCTTCCAGATAAATTCCTGCTCCTGAAAACTCGTCTTCTACCCGAGATCCATCAGTATAGCACACTAGGGATCCCGGGGAGAACATATCACCTTCCTGCTTCCACTGCTCTCTCGAGGGGAAAGTGGTGACATACTTCCTTCCTAACCTAAGCCGGTCCTCTGCTTCCGTAACCCTCATGGCGGATATTGGGATGTCCCTCTCCGCCCTGAGGGCCACGGAAGCATGACCCTCAGTGCGTCCTTTAGCTCTCCAACCACCGGCGTCCCTTATCCTAAGGTATGCCGCCATCGCCTCCCTCATAATCCATGTAGGAAGGGTCGGCAGCCCCAGAAGGACCTCTAACGCGGCAGTTGGGGTCGTCCTCATTGCCCCTGTAATACCTAAGCAGGCAAGTCTCTGGATTCTCACCAACTTCCTGGCTACCGTCACCCGGTCCACACACGGCCACCAGACCAAGGCCCCATACTGTAGCCTCGGCCTAACCACCGCCGTGTACACCCAGTGAAGCACCTTTGGATTGAGTCCCCAGTTTTTGCCAACTACCTTCCTTAACTGCCAGAGGGTTGCCACTGATTTCCGGGTAATCCTCTCAACCTGTGGCCCCCACGACAGTTTGCTGTCCAAGATTACCCCCAAGTATTTGACTTCCCTGACCAAAGTCAGGGGCCTCCCATACATGGTTGGAGCCCTGAAATCACCTATCTTCCTTCTCCTTGTAAATAGGATCATCTCAGTCTTCTTTGAGTTGACTGAGAGCCCCATCTCCTCGCACCACCTCTCTATGATCCTACAGGCTCCCTGCATTCTGTCGCATACCACATCCAAAAACCGGCCCGCGACTAGAACCACGCCATCATCGGCGTAAGCCTGGGCATCACTATATCCCTCCGAGGTTAGGCGTTCCAGGAGACCGTCCATTACTAGGCACCATAGAAGCGGGGAGAGGCAGCTGCCTTGAGGGCATCCCCCTCCCACTCCCAGGTCCCTGCGACAGTCCCCCATGACTGCACTAACCTTCCTTTCCTTCAATGCGGAACTCACCCATTCGACCACGATAGGCGATGTGCCCCGGTCTTGGAGCGAGTTGCATATGGTCTCAGTTTTTGCCTTGTCGAAGGCACCTTCTATGTCAAAGAATATTGCCAATACAACCTCCTTGTACTGAAGGGCCTTCTCTACTTTATGTGTGACACTATGTAAGGCCGTCTCCGTGGACCTGCCCCGCCTATAGGCGTGCTGGTTCGTGTGGATTGGGTATCTACTCAACGACCCATCCACCAGATACCTGTCCACAATCCTTTCCATCGTTTTAAACAGAAAGGATGTGAGACTGATAGGCCTAAAAGACTTCGCCGCAGTGTAGTCTTCCTTCCCAGCCTTGGGGATGAAGACCACCTTGGCTGACCTCCAAGCCTGCGGGACGTAGCCCATCGCCAGACTGGCCCGGAACACCCTCACCATACATGGCAAGAGAATGTCCAGGCCCCTCTGCAACAACGACGGGAAAACTCCGTCCGGCCCCGCTGCCTTGTAGGGTTCGAACTCATTCACTGCCCAGGTTACTGCCTCGTCGCCAATGAGCTCCTCGGCCAGGAGCCAATCTGCTTGTGGCATTGGCTCCGCCCTGGTGCCCTCGACGACATGGCCTCCACCTGAAAAGTGAGTTTCCAGCAGAAGTTCTAAACACTCCTCGCTGGAAGTGGTCCAAGTCCCATCTTCCCTCTTTAATGATTCTAATTTCTCCCTTTTGTCGCAGCTTAAGATCTTCATTAATCTGGCTGTCTCCGGCAGGGACTCCAGCTCACTGCAGTATGCCTTCCAGCCAGATCTCTTGCTTCGCCTAAGTTCCTTCTTAAACTCTCGCCTTGCAGTTTTGTAATCGTCCCAAGAGGTCCCTTCCCCTTCCCTGACAGCTCGGTTGAAGACACGCCTGGCCGTCTGGCGGAGACCCTCTAGGGTCTTATTCCACCAGCGGACCTTGCGCCCACCTGCCGCCCTGAGAGGGCAAGCCTCCTCATATGCCGAGACGATGCAACTGCTTAAGGTTTCTACTTCGTTGTCTAACTGCCTTGTGGAGGTTATTCGTTCACCCCGGTTGCTCGCTTCTAGGGAGCTCCCTAGGTTACCACGATATACCTCCCAGTTTGTTGCCCTTGGATTTCGTCGGAGAGTTATCGTTTCCGAATCCGACTTCATCTCGAAAGCGATCATCCTGTGATCGGACATCGAGATGCAGCCCGTGACCCTCCATCCAGAAATCCCTTCTATAATACTTTGAGAAGCCAACGTAATGTCAATCACATCTTTCCGGATGCGGTTCACAAAAGTCGGCTCCTTTCCCCTATTCATGACCTGCAGGTCTGTGGTTGCTATATATTCCAGCAACGCCTCCCCACGGGAGTTAACATCCCCGCTGCCCCATACCGTGTGGTGAGCATTTGCATCACACCCAATCATTACAGGCAGACCTTTATTCTTAGCAAAATTAACTATATTTTCTAACTCTTTATGTGAAACTCCATTAACGTTTGGGCTTGGATAAGCTGCCAAGGGCCTGGTGTATGTTGGAGGATGGAAGAGCGACTCACTGGACAGAGCTATTAGTCCACGGGCCCAGACCCTTTTTTTTCTTTGATTAATAACAAGCTGAATTTTGGGGAACAGCTTCGTTTTGACGAGACGCCCAACTTTTCCCTCTACGAAAATTCTCGAAAACGGTAGCTAATAAAGCGCGGGGGTGTCAAACATGTCGATTTGGTGAATGATCAATATTTATTACTAACAAGTAGTTTTTTACTTAAATCGCATGATAATTGTATGAAAAACTCGAAAAAACTTTTGTCCTACACGTTCGATGGTTTTTCCGAAGCGTCTCCCACTCTTAACATGTCAAAATAATATGATCTTAGAAGTTATTAATAACCACCTAATTTTTTCACAGATGCTTGGT